TGGTTTGCATGATTGTTTTTGAGTGATTTGGATTTCATGGAATGATTTGGATTGGAATTGATTTGAAATCATTAGTGTGTTTTGTTTGTAGGATTTGGAATGGAATTAGATTTCATATTTAAAAATTATTAAATAACATTTTTATTAATCGATTATTATAAAATAAATTTTTTTTAACATTTTTTAAAACCACATTTCATACAATCTTACGAAATCCCGTGAAATCTCGAGCACCTCCTAAAAATTTCAAAATCCTATATTTGTAGAATTCAATTAAATCTTATGGCTTCAAATACATACAATGCTAGGCATGGCAATGAGCCGGGGATGGGGAGGGTTTTGTAATCACCGGCCTCGGCCCTCGGTTTGTAGTAACGTCCCCCGGCCCCGGCCCCAGTCCCCGGCGGGTACGGGGATTATTATTCCGTCCCCGGTAAAACCCGGTCAATCCCCGTAAATAGTATCCTTTATTTTGATTCTACAGGGGATCCTCGGCCCCGGTTTGAGTAACATCCCCCGTCCCCCGTTTGTGTCTACCGGGGATCTTCGGCCCCGGCCCTGGGACCCGTTTTAGCGGGGAATCCCCGTCCCCGTTCGGGTCGGGTGAACCGGGTTCCCCATCGGGTCGGGGTAAAATCACCATCCCTATACAATGCAACAAACCAAACATAGAATTGGAATGGACTTTAAATCCAAATCCCTCCAAATTCATTCAATTCTTGCAAATCAACTGGGACCGTAGGGTAAATTTTCAAATAAAAATAAATAAGAAAGAAAACAAAATGATCCAATACATAGTTTGATGGTCTATGTCTAGCTGATATAAGAATCAAACATGTCCCCTCAAATGTAAGCTAGCAGGTGCCGCCAACAACAGAGGTGAAAGAATACGTTGGGTACTAATCTAGTGCTAGAAGACAGCTATGATATCATATTGCCATGCATGTGAAGATATATGAAACCGTTTAAAATGTAAAAACGAGAGATTCATATATATATATATATATATATATATATACACACACACATATATAGGGAAGTTTATGAAAAACCCCAAAAAATGAAAACTGAGAAACAACCTGATAACCATTGAAGTTGATCATATTACCATACATGTCTAGTTGTTTATTGGTTTTTATGAACGTGTAGTGGCGGATCTAAGACTTTTGCTTAGTGGGGGCACCTTTAAAGTATATTAAAGGTCTGCAAAGTTGTCCGATATATTTTTAGCCTAATTACATCGTTTCAAAGGATTTTAAAGTTTTTTTTTTGTGATTTCGAGAGATTTTAAATTTTTTTTGTCGATTTCGAAGGACTTTTTTTGTTGATTTCAAGATAATTTTTTGGTTGGAGGCGGCAAAGGCCAAATATTATTGGGGGGACTATGGTTGAAAGTTAAAAAAAAAATTATTATTAACCTAAGTAATTTAGAATTCTTTTTTTTTTACGGGAGCCTATCCCCCAATCATTTATATGCTACATCGGCACCTGTGCATGTGAGCATGTTATTCACAGGTGCATAGCGGATAAATTGCTTAAAAAATGACTTCTATGTACATGTGCATACAGTCCAGATAAACGGTTATCAGGATATTCTTCAGTTTTTTATTTTTTTATGGTTTCCTCTTGAATCTGACCCTATATATATAAGCGAAGAATCGTGTGGGATGGAGAGTTAAAATGAGAAGCGTAAGAAAGAGATCTGGACTTTTGATCATCTTTAATCTCAAATCCACTCATAAATCACACCTGATAAGGGGATTGATCTGATGTATTTCAGTGCATCTCATCTCCGTGCATCCAATGGTAGAGATCATCTTTAACAAGTTTTTTAGAACATTTTTAAAAGAAAGTGTCATAATAGCTATTTTTTTTATTAACCTGGACATCTAACCCGTTATGCGAGCCGACTACTCCCAAGGCGACAATATGTTTTGCAAATAGCATGGAATCACTACGTTTGAACCTCCGTGGCCACAAGGGAATTTTTGATCCTCTTTAGATTTGAACATGGGATCTCCAAATCAGGCACCACCCTTGTGGTTCATAATAACTATATTATACGACATTATGTGAAAAAATGTTTTTATAGGAAGATGAGTTTAGAGGATGCTTCTAAATAATGTTCTATAAAATAGCTAATACAACATCTTATTTAAAAACGTTCTAAAAAACGTGTTAAAACACTAAAAAAACGTCCTATAAAACTATTGTAACACTTTTAGATTATTCTTTATAATTTGTTCTTATAAACTTATAAAATATTCTATTAAAATGATTAGTCGTCATAAACATTTTGTAAAATCAATTTTGTTGTATTGTTGTAACACCATAGGTCCCACATTTACATACAATCATGCATTTTATATAACAATAAAATACAACTTTACACATTCGGTCACAAATATAATAAGAGCTTTATTATAAAAATAGCTACCAAATTTCTTTTTCTCAAAATCTCTATATAAAACTTGTACTCATATGCAGCATGCAAGTACAAGTTACAGCACATTATCCCAAATATATACATGCATGCAATCATATAATTTCTTCATCAAGTCCGTTTCCCTTAACATCTGGTTACTTGACTTGTAATACACCATTTAGAACACAAAAAATAAGGGTTAGACCGAAAGGTCTAGTGAGAATTCCCTTCTTGCCTACTATTATAGAATGAATAATCACTAAACACATTTATAAACTTATATTTGTAATAATAACAAATATACAACCTTTTGATATAACAAACCTCTTTTGTCACATCTAAAAGATGAGACATTACCATTTTATCGCATCAAATACCCAATAACTCACTTAACACATTCTTATATAACTCATTGCATCAAATAGATCAAAAATGTTAATGAATTCAGTTCTGATCTCAATATTTATATCGCAATTAACTTGCCAACTATCGCGGATGCGCCGCCATCTATCGCAGTTAACCTGCCAACTATTGCGGATTCCCCGCCAACTATCGCAGTTAACCTGCCAACTATCGCGGATGCCTCTCCAACTATCACACTTAACCTGTCAACTATCGTCTATGCCTCGCCAACTATCGCACTTAACTTGCCAACTATCACAGACGCCCCACCATCTATCGCAGTTACCCTGCCAACTATCGCGGACGCCCTGCCATCTATCACAGTTAACCTACCAACTACCGCTGATGCCCCACCATCTATCATGGATGTCGCGCCAACTATCGTAGATGCCCGCCATCTATCGCAGTTAACCTACCAACTATCGCAGATTCGCTGCCATCTATCGCGGATGTCCCGCCAACTATCGCGGATGTCCCGCCAACTATCGCCACTTAACAAGATTTAAACGATGCACAATCATAATGGTGAAAGCTTGGAACACACTCATCAGACAACGCTTAGGCGATGAACATCCTCATTGGACAAGGCTTGGGCGATGAGCACACTATTCGGCAAACGCTTGGGCAATGAACACTCCCTCATCTCCCAAAGCTTGGGAGATGAGCACACTATCCGACAAAGGCTTGGGCAATGAACACTCCCTCATCTCCCAAAGCTTGGGAGATGAATACCCTTTCATCTCTTCCAAATTGTGGGCGATGAGCAAGCGTTAACAGACATAATTTTCGAATCAAAATACATCACATAATTTCATGTATCAAAGTAAATTACGTGAAATGTAATAACACGTATTTTACAAAAGCTTTGTAAAAACTCACCTCGACCGATATCAACCAAAATCCAGTAACAGGATCTTTCTTTCTTCTTTGAATGAACCTCTCTCCAGAACCTTTTTCTTTCTTCTTTCAAACTATATATGCATAATAGAGGAGAGGAGGTGTGAGACGGTGCATGGCCATGCATCCTACCTTCTCTTCCCCCCACGTCAATGCGCTCCCACAAAACCAAAATCCACGACATGTTTATTGGACCAGAACTTTTAAATATGAGTAGGTGACAATAAATTTCACCTTTGGTCCCTCATCTTCCATCAACCATAAGTTTTTTTACCCCTAAACCTTCTGTCATTATTTATTTTGAAACCCGATCAACAAATTTAAAACCAAACATTACAATTATAAAAGTTAACAATCTAGAACCAAATATTTTCCTTTTCAGACTTAAATGACTGATTTTTATTTTTATCTTTTTCAAATTAAAACAAACTATATATATATATATATATATATATATATATATATCATTTTCCTTTTGTAAAATAATCAAATTATTAATACGAGTTTTATAAACATTAACAAAATTAATTGGTTTTACGATTATTGTTAATATTCACCATAGGAAGTTTCAAAAGTTTGAATTTCCTTACAATATCGAACCTAATTTCAGATAAAAGAAAATTTAACGTTCTTCATCAATTATTGAGATTTCGTTAAAATTGACATTGACACGTGAAATATTGAGTTTGTAGATCAACTCGATATTATGACATATTTGATGTAAGCGGAAATCAAATACATGTTAATATACAATATCATTTGTCAGTTACTATAAAAAAATTGCAGTTTTTATAACCAGTTTAAGAAAATCTTTGATAAAGTAGACCTGCATCATTTTCTACGCCATACTCATTTTGATGAAACATATCATTCTCTTGCCGAAATGACATAGTTGATGCATTCATCGTTATTTCATCCGCCCAAATTAAAATGTTCACAATAAAAAAGTTACACACGTGTAAATATTACCGTTTTAACTAGTAAAAAGACAATTTTACCCTTATTTATAGAAAGATTTTTTTGAAAGTCAATATTTATTCCGATATAATTTAAAAATATAAAATATTGTTGTAAATTACTTCAATTAAAGCAAAATGATCCAATAAATCGTGTTTAAATTAAGAAAACCAATAAATTATTCTATATTAATTAATATAAAGTGCAATTAATAATAGATAGTCCATTCATAATTATATAAGCTTACATTCATAATTAATTACTAAATAATTACATGATTAATTAATTCATTAATTAATTAAGTACTAATGATCATATATCAGTTATAATATCCATATGAGTTGAGGCTCAGTTCAAGTGAAGTCCGGCCGTCCGACCGAAACCAGTTTCCGCCGGTATAATAACCTCCATTGCTATGCTCCGACGATGAATCCACAGCCGCTTTCACGTTAAAGATATCATGGTGGTTGCCGCCGGTGGTGGTCGTGGTCGTGGTCGTGGTGCCACCGTGGATTGGGAAGAGTGGAAGCGTCTCAATCTGGGTTGACAGCTCTCCTCCTCCTCCTCCACCGTCGTCGTCTTCCTCTGGGATTTCGTACTCCGGCTTGGTCTTGTCCAAAGAATACGAATCAACGCCCACCCATGACCGGAAATCATGGTCTGTTCCTCCGGCGACCCTGCTCTCTCCAGGTGATATCGAACACTCCTTGTATAATTTTAGCAAAATTCAGTGGGTTTAGGGTTTATATGCAGTGTTTCATTGATTTATGATTATTTTATAATTAATATGTGCACGCGCACACACACACACACACTTATATATGTATGTGTGTGTGTGTGTATATATATACATGGAGGTATACCCTGAAACTTTTTTCCATGGCGACAGATCCATAGCTGCAGCCAACAGGCATGAATCCTTGTGAAGAAGAAGAACCAGCCTCTGCGAAAGAGATTCAGCAAATGTAAACATACCCACATGAAATATTTATATCTGAAACTGAATAAAAACGAAAAAGAATCAACCAGTTTTGTACAAAATCTAGACATAAACTAATAAAGACGATGTATATATACATACATACCAGGTGGGGAGATGTGATGAGTGGTGTATAGCTTGTGGTTTTGTTGGTTATAGAAATGGGTTGGGTGATGAGATTGAATATGCATGTGGTGGTGATGATCGGAAAATGGAGATGGGAGGAGGGTGGTGGCGGTGGTGGTGGAAGGAGGAGGAGGTGCCGGCGTAGGAATAAACCGTTTCTTCTGTCTTTCACGAGCTTTATGGTTCTGAAACCAATAAAACACATTTTTGCCTTCGATTTTACCATAGTGTCTGAGACGAGCAGCTATTCTCTGAATCTGGTCAGCAGTCGGTGATCTGATTCCATTGTTGTAGTAAAGTTCTTTGAGAATTCTGATCTGATCACTTGTGGGTGTCCACCTGCTACTGCTCTGCCTACATAAGTAACTGCTGTTTCTGTTGTTTCCTAAATCTTGATCTTGTTGAGTGGTTTCCATGGTGGTTAGTTAGTTTTTCTAGCTGTTAATTGCTGATTGAATGAAACAGCACCAAGAAGAACAAGAACAAGAACAAGAATGAAAGAAATTTAAGGGGAAACTGGAAGAAGAAAACAAGAAAAGGGATTCAAAGCAATGCATGAAGGAGAGATGGTGGAAGTGGAGAGATTATAAAGAGATGATGGGGGTGAAGGCACATGGAAGATGCAGAGAGATGAGAGAGAGAGAGAGAGAGAGAGATGAGAGAGAGAGATGGGAGAGAGAGAGAATATCAAAAAGGATATCTGGAAGAGAAGGACTGAAGTTGACAGAGTGATACTGAGAAAAAGGTAAGGGACAAAAGAGGGAGTAGAAAGGGTTTGGTTTGGTTTGCCTGCCCAAATATCCATTTTCTCTCTTTCTTTTTCTCATTCCACTACTACTTTCCATATTTCATCATCATTTCCCTATCTTACATACTATAATTCCTATCCTCTTATCAATATTCTTTAAAATGGTAATAAAAATTGATGTTTCACACTTGTATAATTTGGTTATCCAAACACTTAAATATATAAATAAGTTATTTTTATAAGAAATTCCAAACACCCCTTAGATTGTGTTGGTCCTCACGTTTGATTTAACGTACATGTGATTACCTAAGTGTTTTCAAAATGAATGTGTTTCGTTTGAACCTTTTCTTATACACAGGGTGTTGTTAAATCGATCATTTTTGTTAAATCAAGACCATTTGACATTAAAAATGTGAAAAATAGGAGGCTAACGTTGATACTTCTTTGATTGAAAAGTAAATATTTCTTTGACGACGGGAAACCCCTTTTGCTGAATAGAAACGACCAAATTCTGGGTTGTGTTTAGCAACTTTAATTTACATAATGTATAAAGCAACGTAATATGAATGGTCGATTCTCAATTGGCATATTTTCCCGTTACATCAACACATCGATTGTTACGTAAAAGAGTATTTATCGAGTTGTTAACTTTTTTTGGTACAATAATACTTGAAGATTATAAGTTATTTTTATATATGTTAATGGAATATGATGAATTAATGGTTGTCAATGAATGAATGAATGCTACAAAATGGGGTGTGACTTTTGGAAGTGTAAATTTGGATAAAAATACTTTGATTCATGATAAAAGGAAAAATATTCCTTTGTACTTGTTGATCTTCTGAGGGGCAGTCTTGGAATTTCAAAATGTTTGTAGTCCCCATGGGCATTATTGTAGTGTAAAGAACTTACATTTCCAAAGGACCCACATTTGGATAAATGGTTGTGATTGGTCAGAAAACCCGTCTACTCACTATCTATGTTTGTTCTTTTAACCAAAATACATTTAATTTATATTTATATTTGTATTTTTAATGTATGATTAAATCTTAGGGATTTCGACTAAATTAATCCTTTAAAAAATTTAAATTATAAAAATAATTTATAAAAAAATAATTAAATTATAAGAATAATTTATAAAAAATTATATTTCAAAAAATGGTTCCCCATTTAACACTACACAATGTATGGTACGTAGATGGGCTTTTTTTTTTTTGCTAAAAAAATATTCTCAAAATCTGATAATGTGACAGCGGTTGATGGTTTAGTGCCGGTTGGTACTTAGTGCGTAAAGGGGTTACCTTTAACATATTTTAATATGTTTTAATATAAACTAGAAGCGTACTCG